GAGCTGCTGTGGCCCAGCACGGCTCGCACTGCACAGGTCCCTGCTGAGGAACGCGGGGGGACAGGCTGGCTCGCATCTGCCCCGTGGAAGGGCACCCGCTAGGGAAGAGGGGCCTTCTGGGTCTGCGAGCACCTTCCGCTTGACGCGGTGGGGCCGAGGGCTGAGTCCACCCAGGGAGGACACCTTTCCTATTTGCAGGAGGTGAAGCACATCCTTAAATCCTGATTTGGAGAATAGATCTCCAGAGGATGGAAGGGCCCTGCCATGTCTCTCCAAAGCGATTTCATTTTATTTTTTAAATATTTTAAAAATTGATTTGAGAGAGAGGAAGGAAGAAGGAGCAAGAGACATAGAGAGAGAGAGAGAGGCAGGGAGAGAGAGAGAGAGAGAGAGAGAGAGAGAGAGAGAGAGGGAGAGAGAGAGAAACACTGATCGGCTGCCTCCCATACATATGCACCCTGAGCACCCCACTGGGGATCCACCTGCCCTGACCTGGATCCAACTGGGGCTCTCCAAAGCTGTTCTGAAGCATGTGATTTGGTTCATATAATTAGAACCATCATTGCAGGTTGACGGAAAAATGTGGAAAGTGTCAGAGAAAAAAATGTAGGTAACTATTTCAGCTTAGCCTAAATATATATCAAAATCTTTTTTAATTATCTGTGCCCTTTTACATAGTGACTCTTCTTTTCAAAATTTATTCTAAAGAATGAGCATAAAGTTTTGAATTATATGAGTGGTGCGTTGTAGAATTACTTATAATAGTGAAAAAAGATCCGCAATCTAAACGTTCAATATTAAGAGGTGGGTTCAATAAGGTACGATACCTTTGTGCTATGAAAGAGGCAACTAGGCGCCCTGGCCGGTTTGGCTCAGCGGTTAGAGCGTCGACCTGCAGTCCAGAGAGACCCAGGTTCAGCTCCTGCTAAGGGCATGTACCTCCATTGCAGTTTGTCCCCGGCCCTGGTTGGGTCGTGCGGGTGGCAACCACTCGATGTGTCCCTTTCACGTCGATGTTTCTCTCTCTCTCTCCCTCCTACTCTATCTGAACAAAATATCAAAAAATGTCCTCGGGTGAGGATAAAAAAGAGAAAGAAAGAGGCAACCAGGCAGCAATTTGAAAGCACGTTTTTGAGCTGGTTCATGCGCAGACTGGGTGAAACGCCCCTGCTTCAGGTGTCCTGAGCATTGTGCTTCCCTGTGCTGTCACTTACCGGATTTTATTGTCAAGGCTTTACTGTCCTCCCTGCAGTAGGGACTGTGGCCTCTAGGCTTGCCATTTGTCTAACACAACACCTGGCACCCAGTAGGTCCCTAATAAATATTTGTGCAATGAATGAATGACTAGATCTGCACAGAAAAAAGACGAGGGATAGGCACCAAAAGGTTAAGACATTATATCCTTTCTGGATATTTAAACATTTTCCTTCTTTGTACCTTTTTGCATATTCCAAATGTTCTACAGTGGACCCAATGTAATTTTGTAAACAGAAGAGAACAACATGCTACATTTTTAAAGTGGTAGCTCAGAGCCTACCATAAGGGCTTTTGAATATGAGAACCCTGCTCCCACAAGGCCATTATCCACAAATCAGACCGGAAACATTGCACAGGTAAAAATGCGATGATTCTCAACACCAAAGATTCCGGGAAGGGGTCCATTAAATCGTAATTTCTTCCCTGGCCAGTGTGGCTCAGTGGATTGAGCATTGTCCCATGGACTGAGAGGTCTCAGTTTGATTCCTGGTCAGGGCACATGCCCTGGTTGTGGACTCGATCCCCAGTAGGGGGCGTGCAGGAGGCAGCCGATGGATGTTTCTCACATTGATGTTTCTTTCTCTCTCCCCTCCTCTCTCTCTGAGAAATCAATTAAAAGAAATCTTTTTAAATTGCAAATTCTTCTAGGACATTTAAATGTTGACATGATTTACAAAACAGTCCGTCTTTACACACATTTTCAAAACCAATCTTCAAGGGAAATTTACTGGCTCACTTTTATTTTGTGAAAGTCTCTCTTTGACATCTTCATGCCCCTAATTCAAACCAGTCATTTAATCTAGAGCAGAGGTCATCAAGTATTTTTATGACCGTCTAAGGTTGACACTTTTCTTCTCTTTAATGAAAATGATTTGGATTTTTCTGGCAGAGTAAAAATTATATATATTATTTAAAAGTTTATATCCTACAATTCTTAGCCAGGAACATTTCACAATGGAAAACACAAAACCACACAGTTTCAGGTTGTCCTCAAGCTGTTTCATTGTGTGGCTCTACCCACTCCTCACTCTCCCGAAAGCCCACATTAGCCGCCTCCTCCTCATTCCGTTTTGTACAAGGCCCGAGTCCATGTCACATTGTTTAAATAATCATAGTTGTTCTGATCCTGCTCTTTGGAGGCTCCTTCCTACTTAATTCTGGTCCATGTCAGCCTGGTGAGCTCCCCATCACACACACATACACACACACTCAGCTCATAATTATTGGGGAATAATTATTTTGTCTCATGTTCCTTCCAGACAAAAATCCTATTATTCGGCTTGGCCCTCACCCCAGTCAAACTGATCTGCCCCCTTCGTCTCGCCCACGTCTTGTTGCATCACCACGTGGCTCGGGTCTTCCAGTGGCGTTGGCCTCTGTAGATGGATAGCACATTTGCTTTTTGACACCAGGCTGACTGCACGCCCTGGCCCGAGGCTGTCGTTCGAATGGTGGCGATTTCCTGAGTGCAGGCTTGAATGTTTCTGTTCCACATCTCACGCCAACTGTCTTCCAGTAACCATTGTCCGGCCCACCGGCTCAACCCAGTGGTCCCCAGGGCGCAGTGGGGAAGAGAGGGGAAATGCCAAGAATAAAATGTGACAACTAAGAGGAGACCCTGTGCTGAGTCCTTGGAGCCTGCCTGTGCCTGCTTCCTGGCTGCCCCATGGTGACATTTCCTAGCAGAAGAAACAGGCAGACAGTGAAAGGAGCTGTCCTGTCCAACAGAGGAGCAAATACGTGTGCACGGTCTAACCCCAGGCTCCTGGACAGGCCCGGCCTCCGGTGGGATTGCAGCTTCCTCTTCTTACCAGTGGTCCCCTTCCTTTCGCCTGGACCAAGCTTTTCTGGACTGCAGAGGAGCATGTGTCCCTCAGGAGGGACCCGCAAGAGGACTTGAGGCACAGCGACGGGCTGGTGAGTGAATGCTTAGGCACGTGTGTTATTTTTGTAAATCAAAATCATTTTCACAAATCAGAGTAATTTTAAAAGCTGGCTGTTTCAGGATTTAACTTTTGCATCGTTTTCCTGCCTCTCGCCTTCGGGCTGCTGCCTCGTCCAGAGGGGCCGCTGCGGTGGCGGCAGGTGCGCGGGGCTCCGTGGAACCCACGGGCCATGGCAGTCCCCTCTGCGGGTGCTTGGTGCCCCCCTGCTTAGTGGTGGAGTCTGCAAGGGCTGCTTTGTGCGGCTGGGTCTCGTCATTCAGGAGGCTGCCGTCTTGCCTGCCCCATGCCCCCCAAAGCCATTTTTTATAATAACTCCACTTTTAAAAAACGTTTGTACTGATTTTAGAGGAAGGGAGAGGGAGAGAGAGATAAAAATATCAATGAGACAGAACATGGACTGCCACCTCCTGCACGCCCCCTGCGGGGATGAGCCCACCCAGGCATGGCCCTGACCGGGAATCCAGCCGAGACCTCTTGGTGCAGGGGTCAACGCTCCACCACTGAGCCACACCGGCCGGGCACTACCTCCACGTCTTGAGAGTGAAATGGGAGTATGGTAAGTGCCACAGCTTGACAGCTGAGGGACAGCCTGACCTCCAGCTCCTGACCTTGGAGGCAGCACTGCCCGATGCAAATATAACGTGAGCTCCATTCGTAATTCAAAATGTTCTCAGTAGTCATATTAAAAAAGTGAAAACAAACAGGTGAAGTTGATTTCAATTCTCTTCTTCGACTCAACATATCCAAATATTATCGTTTTCAGCATGTGATCAATGTGAAAATTATTCACATGATATATCATATTTTATATCTTTCTGTGCCAAGCCTGTGAAACGGGCGCGTGTTTCACACTCACAGCGCATCTGCATGTGGACGAGCACATTTCGAATGCTCCAGGGCCCCCGTGGACGCGAGGCCACTCCATGGGACAGCGCAGTGAGACGGAAGGTGGTCGGGTTCGGGAAGGTCGTCCAGCCTGCCTCCGTGCTCACCCCAAAGTGGAGGACATCTTCTGAGGTTATGCAGCCAGTGAGTAGCTTAGAATCCAGCCGCCCTCCCCCCACCCCCCACCCTGTTTACGCACAGAGCTGAGGAGGAGCTGGACGGGCACCTGCGCTCAGCCTGCTCCAGACTCTCTTTTCCAGCAGGCTCGGCCCAGGCGGAGAGGCCCTCCCCGCCCCACCTTCCTCCCAAATGAGCCGACAGCTTCCCTGGAAGCGTTTGGCTGCACACCAAGATCAGAGTGGGATCGAACTTTTTCATATCTTTCCACCAGATAATCGTTTTTTATGACTTTTCACCCTTGTCCCTAGAAACCTTTAGTTTCAACGAGCTACTTAAAAACCGGTTCCTTGATGCAGTGGTCCTCCATAGAGGAGTCCATCAGAATCCCCTGTGGAGGTTTTTAAAATTCAAATTACTGGTCTCCTACTCCAAACTTCTGCTCTATAGGTCCACGGAGGAATTCCTGTAGATAGCCATTTTATTTTTTAATGGTTTCCAAGGGACTCTGATGCCCCCCCTCCCCCACACAATGACCTCACCAGCTGTCAGATGGCCACTGACATCGCCTGACCCCGGTGGTTGAAAACAGGTCTGGTCTTAAGAAAGGGCTTGGTTGCCAGGAAAGAAACCTGAGAAATAGGTACCCCCAGCCCCTCCCAGGGCGGGGCTTCCCAGCTTCCTGCTCCTCCAGCTCGTTCCCTGCGCCCAAGGACACCTTTCCCCTCATTGCCTGATCGCCTGCCTGAGCCGTGGTGCCATCCAGCCGCGGAACAGGCCGTGGAACAGGCGGGGATGCTGCAGACGGGGCTCGCTCTCCTGGCCTTGGCTGCCTGGGTGGCTCTTCGCCCCTCGGAAGGTGAGTCGGGGCGCCTGCTTCTAAGCCTCCAGTGCAAGGAGGGGGGCTGCCCCCCAAGGCAGAGGGGCTGCCAGCAATTTGGAGCCGGCATTCCTAACGTCGGCTAGGAATTGACAATGATCTACAAGAGAAAGGCATAAGTTTACGGTCCTGATCTCCAAGAAGAATTTTCAGGAAGGAACCTCAATACTAGTGATTTGCTACCTGGTAGATGAGATCCTTCCACCTGAGTGTAACTTTGAGCTGTTTTCTTTTCTGCTGAGAGTAATTTAGAAAATCCCCAGGAGAAGGTGGGGGCGAGCCCGTGTCGTTCATCTGTCTCCCCATCACCCTCCCCTGCAAACGGTCTGGGTGCAAAGGTGCATACCCTAGAAGAAAGGCAGGCTTGGCCTTCTGGGTTAAGGTTTGGGGAGTTGCACGTTTTCTGGACAAAGTCAGCTCTGTGGATACTGAAAACCCAAACTTTAATCAGACCTTAAAAAGGAATGCAAGAGCCCGGCTGGTGCGGCTCAGTGGTTGAGCGTCGACCCTGCACCAAGAGGTCACCAGTTTGATTCCCGGTCAGGGCACATGCCCAGGTTGTGGGCCTGATCCCCAGTGGGGGGTGTGCAGGAGGCGGCCAGTCGATGTTCTCTCTCATCGATGTTTCTATCTCTCTCCTTTCCTTCCACTCTGATGATAAATGAATAAATATTCTCAGGTGAGGATTAAAAACAAAAAACGGATGGATGACACATACACATACTCACATACTCACATATACAAATTGGATTTTAAATCTTCTTTTGAACAATCAGATCTGGCAACGGTGGCCCTGCCCCCGACCTGTCAGGCCGGCTGTGCTCCTGTTACCTGCGGGGCTCCTGGAGGCTTCGTTCAGAGAGCCCCGTGCAGAGTACGAGCAAGGAAAGGTCTGCAGAATCCCGTCTTCATTTCTATCCATCTGTGTCATCAAGACAAAGACAGACGTTTTTCATTTTAGGTTTCTATAAAATTTTTTGGAAAGTTCACCGTTGCAATTTGCGGACTCCCTTTCCGTTCCTCAGAGGTGTACCTGCGGAGGCTTTACAGCTGGGGCGCAGCTTTGTACTCACATAGTATCTCCCCCCTTCAGCCTCCTGACTGTTTCCAGCTGTGCCCACAGCCGCAGGGCAGGGGGCAGGGGAGGGTGAGCGGTGGGACAGGCCCAAGGCTAAGTTTCCAGGGACTGAGTCCAGGCAGAGATGCGGGACAGCAGCACACAGAGGTGTCTGAGAAGGAGCGGCTGGTGATGGAAGAAAGAAAGGGAGCTTCGGAGACCATTAGCCGTTTGGGTTAGTCTCAGGGCTGTTCCTAAGGCTGTTTGGGCCAGAGGAAAATTGCCTTGTGTGAGAAGCCCAACACTCTGCCCTTTAGAAATAAGTGATGTTGGGTTAAAATGCAGGAGAACAGCAAACCTCAGTTGTCTGGGCCGCAGGCTCCCCTGGGGGCCATCGGATTCCCCAGGGCAGAGTAGGGAAGGCGGGCGGGGGGGGGGGGGGGGGGCGCGGGGCTGGGGGGGCGGGGCAGGGCAGGGCGGGGGAGCCGGAGTAGAGCCAGGACGGAGGTATGTGTGACCTTGGCAGTTGTTGCTGGAGGAGGGAAGAGGAAAATGGCCTGTGCCCGTTTGGGACTTTGGGAAATACATTTTGTTCTTCTAGGCATTAACTGTCCCACTATCTTAATGACCCCTTTAATGGCCACCTCAATGTGATGGATCAGTGCCTGGCATTCCCCATATGTTCTGCATAAACCAGAAGCAGCTGACCTACCCACAATTAAAGCCTTGGATTCCGCCCAAAGGCAAGAGGGCGTATACGCAACACCTCTGATGTGGCTACTAGCTCCCAGGACTCAACAGTGAGTCCATAAAAGTGTCCCTCGTGCACTCTCTGTGGCCCCAAGCAAATTATTAGAGCCACAGTGTAGAGCTTTGTGGGCCTGGCTGTGTCCCCCAGTTGCAAGCTGGGGATTTGGATTCACAGTGTCCCAAATTGTCTTTCTTCTGACTGACCATCTTCTTCCTCAGATCAGGAAGGCTCCTTATTGCTCAGATACTTGCTAGAGCTACCTGCTGCTTGTACCCTAAAAGAAGACTGTCTTTTTTTTGTAACCATAGGAAACTCACTAGGGAGGGCTACTGAGATACACACTTGTGCTTGGAAGTTGCTCTGCACAGCTGGGACTCTCCGTGCCACCAGGAGTGGCCCCTGAGAGGCCTAACACGACGCGCCAGGCAATCTGCTCCCAGGTCCTCTCTAGGTTTACCATTTGTTTATTAATTATTTTTTTAATCATCCGAGGACATTTTTCCCTTTTTTGTTCAGATAGAGTGGGAGGGAGAGAGTGAGAGAGAAACAGCGATGTGGAAGGGACACATTGAGTGGCTGCCTTCCACACGACCCAACCAGGGCCGGGGACAAACTGCAACCGAGGTACATGCCCTTAGTGGGAACCCAACCCGGGTCTCTCTGGACCGCAGGCCTACGCTCTAACTGCTGGGCCAAACCGGCCAGGGCTATTTATTTATTTTAAAATATGTTTTTATTGATTTTTTAGAGAGAGAGAGGAAGGCAGAGAGAGATGGAAACATTGATGTGAGAGAGAAACAGCGATCAGCTGCCTCCTGCACGCCCCACATTGGGGATCGAACCCGCAGCTCAGGCTTGTGCCGGGAATCGAACCGGGACCTCTCAGTCCATGGGACAGCGCTCAATCCACTGAGCCACACCGGCCGGGCCAGGTTTGGCCTCTAGTTAAAACAGTATGTCCTGTACTCCTCAATACCATTGTTAGATTAAGGGTCTAGGTTTTGGTTAAAAAACCCAGTCATCATATGTGTAATGTAGTTCAGGCCTTTTAAAATGTCCACTGGTGCCCTGGCCAGTGGGGCCCAGTTTGTTGAGCGTCATCCCCTGCACCAAAAGGTCACTGGTTTGATTCCTGGTCAGGGCACATGCCCAGGTTTCGGGCTCAATTCCTGGTCTAAATGTGTGCAGGAGACAGTAGATTGATGTTTCTCTCTCACATCGATGTTTCTCTCTCTCCCTCTCCCTTCCTCTCTCTCTAAAGTCAATAAAAACATATTTAAAGTTAATTAGATAAATAAATCAAATGTCCTTTGTTATGTCTAGAGAGGCACAGAGATTAACAGCTATCTTCTCACATATGAGTCATATATGAGGCCCTTGGAAAGAAAACATTCTTTTTATTTTCAGTAATGAGTTTCCAATTCCTCCGGGTTCTCAGTGGAGGCACTTGATCCCAAACCACCAGGAGGGGGCGCTGCTGTGCTCTCCCAGAGCCTGATGCTGGAGAAGCCGCCTGCCTGAGCCTGTGAAGAGCCAGGAAAACCCTTCTTCCTGCAATGCCTGCTGGTGCCCCCTACCGGCCAAGTGTAACATCATGACAGCCGGCGGAGGAAAGATATTTCAAGGGCCCATCTTCATTTTAATTTCATAGAACTGGCCATTGTGGGTGAATTTAACTGGAGGGGTCATAAATGGGCATATTCCACAAGCACGGAATAGACACCTGGATGCCTGTTATGGGGCAGGAACTGTGCTACATATTGGCCTCTAGATGTGTGTTTTTTTAATTTTAATTTTGTTTTCCTTTATTGATTTTAGAGAGGACGGGAGAGGGAAAGAGAGATAGAAACATCGAGAGATAACATTGATTGGCCGCCTCCTGCATGCCCCTCACTGGGGGTTTGGCCCACAACCTGGGCATGTGTCCTGACTGGGAATTGAACCAGCGACCTCTTGGTGCATGGGTCCACCCAACCACTGAGCCACACTGGCTGGGCTAGATGTGGGCTTTTTTGTTGTCTGATTCCATTTATTGAGTCTTTATTATTTGTCAGCGCTGCTCTGAGCACGTGAGTGTACGGACTCATTTAATCCTCACAGCAACCTGTAAGGCAGGTGCTATTACCATCCCTAATATTACAGATAAACAAACTGAGACACAGACTCACGTAACTCACCCAACATCCGCTAGCAAGTGGCTGAGCCAGGAATCGAACCTGGTTGTCTGTCTCCGTATGCTTAACTACTGTGCAGTAAAGTCCCTCAGAGTGTCTCTGTGGCCCCAAATTATTCACCCCCCTTTCAGGACTACCTCCTGGCCACTCCAGTGTCCATGCTGTGGGAAGTGCTGGTGACCAAATGTCCTCATATTAAGGTAAAGAAAAACCCCCATTTACTCTCCATTACCCAAACATTATCCCAGGGTTCCAGAAAGTACCGGAGAGGACTTCATCCAGGCGTAGCGTTTCACGCATCATGGCTTGGCGAGCCCTTCCTGCCTGCTTGGTGATGGCAGAGGACACCTTTGTTTGCAGGCATCCGTGTGTGATGGGCCAGTTGTCTCCAGAAGGCATGAAGTCCTGTAGAATGGGGAAGCACATCCCTTACCAACCACATTCTGATCATTGTGTTTATTTATGTATTGACCTTCATAGACCTGAGATATTGCCAGCAGCCAAGTGAAACTTTCTCACCGTTTTCCTCTTTATCCTGGGAGTCCTTCTCCAACACTGGCGTGTACTTTGCCCTGTTTCCATGCTGCTGTGGTCTGTAGTGCCCTTCATACCAGTGCTTCTCAAACTGAATTTCTAATAAGCCCCCAAGTGGTGCCATTGCTGCAGCTCTGGGGACCACATTTGAGTAGCAAGAGACTGTGCAATACGTCCAAGGAGGAGAGGAAGCTGGTTTATGTCTCTGTGGTAACAGGATCCTTTCTTTAAAACCCAGAACCCAGCCCTGGCCGGTTTGGCTCAGCGGTTAGAGCGTCGGCCTGCGGTCTGGAGAGACCCGGGTTCGGTTCCCGCTAAGGGCACGTACCTCGGTTGCAGTTTGTCCCCGGCCCTGGTTGGGTCGTGCGGGTGGCAGCCACTCGATGTGTCCCTTTCACGTCGATGTTTCTCTCTCTTCCAGTCTTTCCCTCCCATTCTATCTGAACAAAAAAATGAAAAAATA